AACAGACCACTTACAAGGGAACACCCATCAGAATTACAGCAGATTTCTCTGCACAAACCATCAAATCACGAAGAGCGTGGGGGGAAATAATTCAAGCTTTAAAAGATAATAATCTCCAGCCAAGACTGATATATCCTGCACAACTATCCCTGGAAATTGATGGAAAAACAAGGAGCTTCCAGGATAAAGAGGAACTAGGGGAATATGCAGCCACCAATTCAACTCTACAGAGAATACTGCAGGATATTCTAAAAAAGAAAAATACAAAGAATCCAGAAATAGTGGCAGAGAGGCCACAATGAATGGAGCAGAAAACAAAATGAAGAAGACAAACTGACAACTAATGACAGAAAAAGAGCTCAACAGAAATGAGACAGAGAAGATTGGATGATAGGAACAGCTATTTTGGAGAAAATGACATCTTAATAGGTAATACTGATTTAGTATCATCTTGTTTTGAAGTCTCATCTAGCTTTTGTTCTTCTGTCTCCAATGGTCTAAATAGGTTGCATCTTATTGGATTTTATTATGTACGATAGTATAAGAAAAAACCTTTTAAAGACAAGGAGATTATACAGAAACCATTGTTCATTTTCTGTTAGTCGATTCTAAATACTCTGTAATGCTGTCATTCTCTTAAATGGTTTTACATTGTTTTGATATATTTGATGCTACAGTATACAAAGTTATACTCAAAGATTTCAAGGAAAGAGACAATATGGTAACTACTTTTATGTAAGGATTATCTTGTGGTGAAACACTATTCTGCTTAAATGGTTATGTTTTGATCTGCGCTGTTTTGCTGTTATGCCCTCTTTTATCTCAATCTCCACTTCATTATTTACTTTTTTATTTTTATCCTTTTAATTAAGAGAAAAATAAATAAAAAATAGCAGGATATATTATAGTAACCCACTTTGACTTTCCATTATCTTGATTTAAAGCCCTGTATTACTCTCACCATCTTGTTTTTGACTGATGTTCCCCTATTCTGTTTTGGTTGATAGTACCAGGTTCAAAAGTTTAGGCAACAGCTGTGAAGATAGTGAGATTCATTATGACGCCCATTCTCGTTGACTATTATCTACTTTTGAAGACCTATAATGTCTCCAATGTTTTGGTTTTGTCATTTTGTTCTTTACTGTTTTATTCAATTTTATTATAACTGATGATATAGGCAATTCTATTAGAGATAGCGGGAGGCATTATGGTAACCATTGTTGATCACCTTGTATTATGCTTTTACATTATCTATTATGTCCACCCTTTTGATTTGATTGACTCTGTTCTGTTATGTCACATTTGGTTCTACTCCCTTCCAAAAAAGTAATAAGAACTGTGGGAGCAACAAAACCCAAAATGTGTAATTGTCATTGTACAAAAGAGAGGAAAAGAAAGTGCTCTAAATGATATAACTGCATGTATATTTAAGTGTATAAGATAGACAATGATATTACTGAGTTTTGTTGGATCATTGAACAGAACTGTTTGCAGTCTCACTGTTGGAACTTTACAAGCTTTAATTTTGTGACTTGAACAATTATTTCTAAGATGACAATATGTAATCCATTAACTAGTGATTTCCTACTGTTTATTTTTTTCTGTAAATCTGTATAACTTGTACCCTTTCTCTGCTTTTTTTTTCTCCTTAAATAAAATTTAAAAAAAATTAAAATTGGGGGAAAAAAGAACAATGCAGGTTGCCCAGAGATCATTGGACAGGTTCACTAAGGACAGCTGTCCAGTGACCAGGCAGTCTCACTCCTCTGGGTGGCTGCTGAGTTGGTGGTTTTCACTATTAATGTGGTCTGCGACTTTTCAAAGCAACCTTGGGGTGTGGGACTAGGACAAGAAACCGTGTGCGAAGCACCAAGAAGCAGCCTTTTCTTATTGAATACACATCCTCTGATTGTTGCAATTTGGTTGTTTTCCAGAATTTCCAGTGTTAATTTCCAAAGTTTGAAAGAAGTGGATTCTGACCATTTTTGCTAATGTTCTCATTTGCTTGTTTGTTTTTTTAAAAGTACTGGGGATTGAACTTAGGACCTTGCACTTGGCAGGCAGGCGCTTACACCACTGAGCTACATCCCCAGCAAATGTTCTCACTGTTTTCATACAAAAAACTCCCAGAAGTCGTTACTCTGCCATTCCTATCACCCCTTCAGTTTTGCATTCTACTCCAAGGCATTATTATATAACTTAATTTGGTTGTAAATCTGGTTGCAAATCAGTCACTTCAGAATTAAGCCACCTCCTAGAAAAATACGCAAAATATGCTTGCTTCATTCTGAGACCTCACACCCACCAGCGTACTCCAAGAAGTACTGTTCCTCTGTCAGACTATAATCGCCTTGGGTGTGGGAACAAGTAACTTTCATTCCTTTAGGCTGTCTGGCACAGAGCTTGAAGTAACGTAATTATAAATCAGAACCAAAGCAAATGTCTCAAGTTCTCACTTTTCTGAATGTCCCCACAACAGGCAATACAACCAAATAGCACCCGGGGAGCAGGCCAAAGTAGCTCCTCAGTTTATTTCTGTCTATGATGTGAAATACAGTCTTGCCCTGAACCAAGAGTTCTCTGTCCCAATCTGTAAGAAATTTCCTATTGGAATCACCCTCTTGACATTCTAGGCTAGAAATCTCATATGCTAAGGTCCAGGGGAGTAGCTCAGAGGTAGGGTACTTGTCTAGCATGTATAAGAGGACCTAGATCCATTATCAGTATTGCTAAAAGAGAAAAGGAAAAAACCTCTGAGAAGAGTCTCTTGTTTCAAAACTTACAAAATGTACCAGAAAGTTTTTCCCTTGAGCCCAAATAGTAACTGCTCAAGACAACAGTTTATACGGTGAACTCCAGGGATTTGCCACAATCCAGCCAAGCATGTGTGTACATATTTCCATGATATTAAAAATTCAGCAAGAAATGATGATGTTTCACATTCAGCTTTAATGTATTGTTGAATAGTGTGTGTGTGTGTGTGTGTGTGTGTGTGTGTGTGTGTGTACAGTGTTCTAATCTATGGGTTTTATATCCTCAGATTCAACCAACAACGGATGGAAAATATTTTTTAAAAATGCATGTGCAGTGAACATGTATAGCCAATCTTCTTATGTTATTCCCTAAATAACATAATATAACAACTGCTCACATAACTTCAACACTGTGCTAGTTATTATAAGTAATCTAAAGAACACAAAATTAGAGAGGATGTGCATAGTTGTCTACATTTGTCCTGGTACCAATCTCCCAATGATAACAGGAGGTGATGGTATTCATGTAAACAGAGTTCTTTTACAGTCTTTTCAAATGCCTGCTGGATAACAGTGGACATTTGTCCACCAGAGACATCTGGACTCAGTGGCTATGATGGAGGTCCAGGGGTCCCTGTGAGGGAGCCATCTCCTGTCTCTCTGAAGGAGTCCTGCCTCACTGAGCGCAGTCCAGACCTTCCTCCCCAAAGTGGCTGGAGGAGCCCAGGTCCTCTCCTCCTCACTGGGGAAATCGTATGACTCAGGCTAGGCCGACTGGGTGTTTCTGCCAAAGTCACAGAGCAGTGAGGTCATCTATCCAGGGAGCAGAGCTGGGCAGCTAGGGAGAGAGGCAGAGGACCAACCCTCTCCCTGTGGCTTCTGGGTCAGGGCCACAGCCACCCTCAACCCTCCACCTTGCTCACCACGTCCTTCTCTCAGCCCTGCAGCCCTAAACACTCCCCACACAGACTCATCCCTGCCTCAGGCCATGATACGTGAAGACTGTGTCTCTTTCTCAGGCCCTGTGCCATCCCTTACTCTGTTACTTTTATTATAAGTATCGTGCATACCACCTGTCATCATTTATATCTGTGGCCCCCAGGCCTCAGGAGTTTGCATTGTGCATTTGTGATTGGTTCATTGTCTAGTGCTTGGATTGGGGCTGTGAGTGATACACTGGCCTAGGGGTGGAGCCAGGATGTGATGTAATGGCAGGAAGAAGATGCGTCTTGCTCTTTTGCTGGTTTCTGCCTTGCTGTTTGCAGCCACCACGAACTGCGGTCCTGCCATGCCAGCCTGCCTTGGAGCCAACTGAGTACGGACTGAAACCTCCAAAAACTGTAAGAAATAAACTTTTCCTTTCCCAACTTGGGTTTCAGGTATTTTGTCTCAGCAACGAGTATAAAGTAACTAAGACACCACCTTCCTCTCCCCAGTTCTGGAGACAGTGTTGGGACTGCAGATGTGCACCACCACGCCCAGCCTGTGCTTTCTTAACAGTTAAGAACCCAGAGCCTGCCTGTGGATGATTTGGATGTTGAGTTTAAGGAGTGGGTTTCAAGCCTTGGTAAAAGTGGGTTACAACCAACTTCTTCTAATGTCCTCATAGCGAGCCTCTGCATGCCAGAACCGATTCTACATCCCCAGAGGCAGTGTGGCCAGTCCCTGCTTCAACTCCCTCCTTCTCCTCGTCCTCCTCGTCGTCCTCGTCATCGTAGTCCTCCTCCTCATCCTCCTCATCCTCCTCCTTGTCCTCCTTGTCCTCCTCGTCATCGTCCTGGTCGTCATCCTCCTCTTCCTCCTCCTCCTCCTCCTCCTCCTCCTCCTCCTCCTCTATCCAACCTCAAAGTCCTACTTTAAGTACAATCACCCACACCTGACAATCGCTGTACCCCAAAGGGGAGGGAGTCTGGGGCCTTCTGAGGGCAACCTGGCTCTGCAGTGTAGTCATGAGGGTCTCTCTGGTAAGGAGCTGATAAAGAAGCAAGCAGGCTCCTTCTTGGGCCTGCCCTGTCCTGACCCCAGGCTCTATCCCAGGGTCACCCAGCCAGAGCCAGGACTAGGTTGGTTCCCTGAGAGCTGTGAGTCCCAGGGCCCTTGTTGGGAGCTTCAGGCGCCCCCGGAGCTGGTCTGGTGCATGGCGGACAGGAAGCTGTGGCCCCGGAGTCAGAGGCCTGCAGAGCCCAGGAGCCAGCAGGGCCCAGGGTAGAAGTGTGATGTTGCATGTTGGGTTTCCTTACTTCCAAATCACAGTGTTCAATTTTATTCCTATCCTTTAGTTTTGGTAGAAAATACAAGCAATTATTTGCATGTCCCATGCCAAAAGATTCTGGACGGTTGTCCAGTCGCTGCTGTGACTGATTCCAAGTACACAGAGCATGCTGCCAAGAAGATGGAGAGCCGCAGGGAAACCTGCCAGTGCTCAGGAAAGCTGAGCTGCGCACATTCAGGGTAGGATCTGTGGCCTCAAAGAGACAGGAAGAGCACACAGAGCATGGAAAACTAGAAACCTTGACTAAAACTCCAAAATAGAAGAGATACGAGAAAGAGCAGCAAGACTCGAATATTAGATCCACTCGGCATGCATTCAGCTCACAAGGTCGCCATGCGCTGCCCCTTTGTCCTGCTGCTCAGGGCAGGGACGGAGGGGTCTCGGTGGCAGCTCAGTCACCAGGACAGAGGTGTGGTGCTTCAGGCTGCTAAAGGCTCGCCTCTTACGCCACGAGGGATCACTTGCACAGAGATGTCCTCCACCACAGTCTTCCAGCAAAAGATGTTCTCTGCGGGGCTGTGCGGGGCTCATGCCTGTAGTCCCACCTACTCAGCAGGCTGAGGTGGGAGCACGGCTGGAATCCAGGAATTCAAGGTCAGCCTGGGCAACATAAACTCGGCTCAAAAGAATTTTTTTTCTTTTTAATTTTTGCATTGCCAAATGAATGTGTGTTCTTTGAGAAAATCTGAGAAGGAAAGAAAACTTAAAATCACATATCTGGTCTTCATTCAAATGCCATCATAATAATCATCTGGTCTTTTTTTTAAGTTTTTTTTTCCCTACCAAGAGATTTTTTTTTTTTTTTTTTTGTTACCTAGCAGGAATTAGTCACTCATTGTATATCATTCTTTTCCCTTTTTTTTAAAAACTTAATGTTCATCTTCATTAATTTTTTCTCCAAGGCACACATGAACTGTCCCAGACCCAAGGCAGATTTTTAGTGATAGTGACCCTCACTCAATAAATGCTAAGCCTGGGGCTGGGGATTTAGCTCAGCGGCATAAGCGCCTGCCTTGAAAGCAGGCAGTCGTGAGTTCGATCCCCGGTACCGATAAAAAGGAAAAAGATAAAAAAATAAATAAATGCTAAGCCTGGGGTCTGTGCCCTTGGGCACAGCAAAAGCTAGATGGAAACTTTCCGTGTCCAGCCCTTGTTTTCTACGACAGGGACATACACAAGAGAGGCAGCGGGCCCTTCCCTGGAGGGAAGGAAAGAGACTTTCTCTGCGTAGGCTGTGCAGCAAGGAGCCTGGATCCTCACTCCACTCTTTGGAATGTAAAACTGTCTCTCCCGGGACATAATAACCCAGAGCTGGAGCCGCTGGAAATGTAAACACATAACTCTGGAGTGAAGTAAAGATCTCTAGAGTGCTCCACTACCTCAACAACTGTAAATTAACTTCTGGGGCTCGATCCTCACTCCGTGCTGGGGATTGAATGTACTTATCCCCCTCGAATTCATTTGTTGAGCCCTGTACAGCAGTGCGATGGTATGTGGAGACCGGGCCTTGACAGTTAGGGTCAGATGAGGTCAGGAGGGCAAGGGATTAGCACACAGGCTGGAAGAGACCAAACAGCTTGCTGTCTCTCACCTGGTGACACAGTGAGAAGGCAGCCATCTGTCAACCGGGAGCATCCTCTCCAGACACGGTACTGCTGGCATGTAGATCTTGAACTTCCAGCTCGCAAAACTGTGAGAAATAAATGTCTATTGCTTAGCAGTTAAGCCATCCAGTCTTGGTATTTTGTGACGGCAACCCCAGCTGACTCACACACCTAAGATGCCAAGTTTTAGCAAAATTTGTTCTAAAGTCTGCAGAAACACAAAAACATTTTCTCTACACCCTGCAACTTTATAACACAATGTTGCTTTTCCTACAAAGCGCTAGTGCTGTTGTGGAATGTGGTCCTTAAGATCAACCTCATAAGTGAAAGTATTTCATTTGCAGTTCTAACTTAATAAATTTTCTCCAAAACCTTCACCTATATATAAACATGTTGCTTTTTCTAAGTCCAAAATAACATGTAAAGTATGTATCTTTGATTTCCAGCTGGCTCCAGAATATCATCCTTGGTTTCCTGGCTGAATATTCAACATTAAAGAATAAATAAACAAAAACCACAAATAACAAAGCTAGGTTCTCCACCTAGCCAAGCATTAAAATCATCTGGGAATCTCTTCAGACAGGCAGTCCAAAGATTGCTCTATGCAGAGGACAGGAAAGGAGTGAAAAAACAAAAACCAAAGATTAAAAGTACCTCCAGGATCCAGGACAGCCCTGTTTTCCTTGGCATTTCTTCACAGCCACAGAAACACCAGGAGAGAGACTCAGGTGGGTAGTGAAAGCCTTCAGGCTGTGGGCTTCTCACCCGGAGTCCTAACAGATAGTAACCCTCAGGGCTGGAAGGCAGGGATATGGGAGGAGCTGGCAAGCTGTGGGTAGGACACCAGACCGAACCAGAACCACTGTAGTCTGCTTAAGGGAACAGCAATGACTTGCTATCAGAAGCAAAGCCCACAAGAAAGTGCCATGGTTTGCATGTGGTTTGAGTCTGTCCCCTAAAGATTCCTCTGTAAGGAACGTGCTCATAGGTAAGACAATGTTGAAATGGTGGAACCTTTGGTGGTGAAAGGAAATTAGGTCTTGGGGAGCCACCTCACAAATGTACCCATGCTGTCCTACAGGGCTGGATGAGGTCTCATGGGACTAGATCAGTGCCCTCAAAAGTGGGCTGCTATAAAGCAAATCTACCACACCTGCTGAATTCTTTCTATACAAGACCATTTCCCTTCTTCTTCTCTACTGTGTTGTAATGCAGCAGATGTAGTTGCCAGATAAAGTTGCCTGAATTAGCCGCCAGAACTCTGAACCAAAGCAAAGCATTCTTTATAAAGTACCCAGCCTCTGGTATCTTCAAACTCACAGCCTTGCACTTACCAGGCAAGTGCTTGAGCCACTGAGCTAAATCTCCAGCCCAGCCTCTGGTATCTTGTTACAACCATGTAGCACACTAAGCTAGAGGCTTCTTGGGAGGGAAAGTCTTTCACAATGAGAAATGCAAGGTGACTCTGATGCAGGATCCCTGCCCTTCCAACTTTGCCCAGTGGGACTCTAAAACTCTGTAGCAATGCCAAGATACCTGCCCCATTCAGGAACAATTCTTCTCTGCTTCCAATACACCCCCTGACACCAGAGCTGTCAGGTCACTCCAGCACTCCTCCCCAAGAGTCACTTCTCTCCTTGTCCTTCCCATCCCACTCTGCAGGAGGTTCCTGGAAGCTGCAGCTAGGTCTTGTGGTGCAAGGTCAAAATGCCCCACCTTGATTGTTCTCAAGCAGAAGCCAAGGAACAGAGAGAGACGCTTTCATCTTGAATCCATTTCTGTTCTTGACAACCCAGGGTTCATGCCAGGCAGCAGCCTGTGGCAGGATTTTAAAATATTAAAAACCCATGTGTCTGACAACAGCTCCAAACCAATCAACTGCCAGGGAGCAGCTCCCTAGCTCTTGGCATTGATAACTACCCAGTAACAAGTACCTTTATCTTAACTCCACTGCTGAAGCTTGCATGGCAGAGGTGCCGACCATTCAGCAGAAGTTCAGCAGTGACTGAACTTCTGCAGGTTCCCAGGCCATGGGAACTTAGGAGCCCTGGTAGGAAGAGCCTGAGAGAACATGGCAACAGTGGCCATGAAATGCTCCCCCACAGGTTTTCAAAGTTCAGCCCAGGCAACCTCTTTCACCTGGCTTCTCTTAGCAAGTCATAGGGTTCCCCTAAGCAGGGCAGGGGTTTTCTGTCTGTGTCCATGTCCTAGCCCAGCAGGCTAGCTCTGCCCTCCAGCCCCAGGCAGACTTTCTCTGAGACCTGAAGCCTTTAGGCTTTCATCACCCATTGTGAGCCTCTGTCCCAGTGTCCTGGTTTTGGGTGTATTCTCATGGGGGTTCACAAGATCCAAATGAGTTTTCATAATAATGCCAAAAATGTTATTTGCCTCTTTTATTTTATTGGGATTTGCACTGCTGTTGATGGGTAAAATTTCTATTGCTTATCTGGGTATGATGGTTGTCTTGAGAAAAACACTGTGGAACAAAGGTGTGAGCCAATCAGGATGCACACTTTCCCTGTTGTGTTTTTTTTTTTAATATTCTAAATATTAGAGAAACGCAATTAGCAAAGATTTTTCTACACTCTGCAGGCTGTCTCCTCACTCTGTTGATTGTTTCCTTTGTTGTGCAGAGGCTTTTTAATTTAAAGTAGTCTCATTTGTTGATTCTTGATATTATCTCCTGTGCTAGTGGGGTCCCATTCAGGAAGAAAATCTTTGCTTGTGCCTATGACTTGTAAGTGTTTCCCCTGGGTTTTCTCCTAGCAATTTCAAGGTTTAAAGCTAGGTCTTTGATCCATTTTGGTCTGATTTTAGGACTCGATGAGAGAACATACATTTTTCCATGAAAGACAGTTTTTACTTGAAAGAATAAGCTTTTGGCTGGGATCTAGTTCAGTACCATGAGTGCTTGCCTGGCAAGTGTGAGGTCGTGGGTTCGATCCCCAATACAAAAAAAAAAAAGAATAAGTTTTCATTTTACCTGAAAGATTGGTGAATTACAATGATTATTCAGTGTTGGCAATCTGACAGATAGTTCTTTTTTTTTTTTAATTTAAAGAGAAAAAAAAGAAAAGACATTTTAAAAAAAAGCAGTAAAAAGATACAAATAATACAGTATTTCAAGAAAAAAATATACAGTAAGAAATCACCAGTTAATAGGTTACATATTATCTCCCCAGGAACAGTTGTCCAAATTACAAAATTAAAGCATATAAAGTGGACATTCATACAGTGAAATTGGAGACAGTTCTGTTCAGTGATCCAACAAAAGCTCAGTAATATGGTTTTCCATCCTACATACTCAAACGTACCTGTGGTTATATCCCTTAGTCCACCTTTCTTTCCTCTCTTTTTTTACAATAACAATTAGAAATTTTTGGGTTTTATTACTCCCACGGTTCTTATTACTTTTTTTTTGAAGAGAATAAAACCAAATGTGACTAAGCAAAACAGAGTCAGTTAGAACAGAAGAATGGACATAGTACATGATGCAAAAATAGAATACCAGGTGATCAAAAGTGGTTACCATTGTGCCTCTTGCTATTTTTAAAAAGAGTTGCTTGTATCATCAGGTATAATAGAATTGATCAAAACAGTACAGAACAAGACCAATAAAACCTACACTGAAGACCTTGCAGGACTTTAAAAAAAGGATAATAGTCAAACCATAATGGGCATCATAGTATATCTTATTGCCTTGAAAGTGGTTGGCTATACCCTGAAACTTGATACTATCAAACAAAATAGAATATAGAACAATCAGACAGAACAAGATGGGGAGAGCAATACTGGGGTTCAAATCAGGTTAATAGGAAAACCAAGAAAGTTACTATAATATGTCCCACTATTTTTAATTTAGTTTTCCCTTAATTAAAAAAATAAGAGAAAATAGATTAATTTTTTAAAAGGGGGGGGATTTAGATAAGAGAGGACATTGTAACAGAAAAATGCAGGGCAGAACCTAACCACTCAAGCATCATTGTGTTTCACCACCTGATAATCTAACATCATAGTAGTCACCATAGTGCCTCTTTCCTTGAATTATTTGAGTGTAACTTCGTATGCTATAACATCAAGCATATCAAGACAGTGTGAAACCACTCAAGAGAATGCAAGAATTACAGGGTATTTAGAATCAGCTAATAGAAAACGAACAACGGTTTCTTTATTATCTCTTTGCCTATAAAGAATTTTATTTATACTATAGCATATAGTGAAATATAGTAAGATACAACATGTTCAAACCAGTGGGCTTTTCCAGTCCGCGGGCTGCGGAAGCTGAAAGGGCTGTGATTCACTCTCACCTGTGCGACGCCCGGGGCGTCCAGAGAAGCAGCCAGGCGAACAGTAAAACATGAACGGAAGAGTGGATTATTTGGTCACAGAGGAAGAGATCGATCTTACCAGAAGACCCTCAGGTCTGGGCTTCAACATCGTCGGTGGGACAGCTCAGCAGTATGTCTCTAATGACAGTGGCATCTACGTCAGCAGCATCAAAGAGAACGGGGCTGCAGCCCAGGATGGGCGACTCCAGGAGGGTGACAGATCCTCTCGGTAAATGGCCACGACCTAAAGAACCTGCAGCACCAAGATGCTGTAGCCCTTTTCCGAAATGCTGGCTATGCTGTGTCCCTGAGAGTGCAACACAGGTGACAGGTGCAGAATGGACCTACAAGCCATCGAGGTGAAGGGGAGCCAGGTAGTATTCCCATAGCTGCGGTGCTGCTGCCAGTGGTTGCCCTCACCGCGGTAGAGCCTGGGCCTTCATGAGATACCGGCAACAGCTTTGCAAGGCTTGTTCTCTTCGGGCTCCCAGTGAACTTACCATTTCTTCGACTTCCTTCCCTGCCATTCTCCCATATCTTTCCTTCTCTCTTTGTAGCCAAAAAATGATTTAAAGTGAATGATTCCCACTGTAAACTTTGCTGTTCAAAATCCCCAAGTCTTTGTATTCTAATACAAAGTTGCAGAGAGAAAAGTTAACTGAGAAATGAGCCAGTCAGAAAGTTCCCACAGAGAAAGGGAACAAACTAAGGACTCTTAAGGAGCTGACAGTCTAGTTAACAAAAGATTTCCTAAATAGGTGAAATCTTAAGAGTACTGTATATCATCCATCTGGTTAAGTAACCATTAAGTTAGCCATGTTGAGCATGATGCAGTACAAAGATGTGCAGATGACTGTTGTCACAGTTTTTAGAAATTCAGAAAAGGAAGCTGTCACTTAATGGCATCAGGTTAGGGTGGAAAGGTATGGCATTTAAAAATAAAGAATCCTTGCCTCTGGATCAACTATTGATACAGGGAGAACCTGACCATAAACAATCCTGGCATACTTTTTGCCTTTCAACCTGAATTGTTTGATACTTTTCGAAGCTCATTTAGATAACCAGACTCATTGTGGGTTCTACAGAGAAACACCAGTATTCCAGCTTTCATCTCCCCACTCCTGTATGTGACGTCATGTTCAGCAGCTACATGGGCCTGCTTACCTCCCAGGATTCCCTCAGGCCTTGGACATTAACTCTTGAAAGAACTTGTGACACAAAATGGGGCAAATGGCAAGTAGAAAAGAAAATAATTTAGATTTTTGTTTGTTTGTTTGTATACAAAACAAACACCTGACCCATCATTGGTAGTCAGTTGCACCTAAATTTAGGTTTTCTTGGATGTGCAACAGCATTCAAAAACCAAACATTTTAAAGTTTTATGTAAGAATGTTATTCATTATAATGATTATATGGAGAACTAAAGTTGTAAAATAATCATGTTGTGTATAGAC